GCTTGATTTTATTGTTGTTTTTTTACTTATCGGTGGTAGCGAACCTCACTTTCTGAAATTATTTCAACTCTATAGGTTTTAAGCGTCATGGTTTTTTTTTCGTGGTCTTCATCATATACATTTTTCCATCAACTTGATATAATAACAAAATTACTTAAACTGCATTAAATACGATCGATGGTTATACAAAAAGAACGAAACAAACCGGCTGGGTTTCTGCCAGACATTTACATAATACAGTAGCAAATGTACCGTGTTAATATATATAGCATTCTTTTTTTTTTCTTTGTCAAACAATAAATTTAGTCCAACTTTTTTTCGCAAAAAAAATAAATAAAAGAAAACAAGGTGAACCTATTTCTTGCATAATATATTATCAGACGAAAGGAAAATCTTCTGTGCTTTAGGATGGATCAATAGTTGTTCTTTTTGTTTCATTCGTATGTGTATTATATAAACTACAAAAAATATACTTTTAGGGTATGGGTATAGAAAAGCTGGACAATGTAAAAATTCTTAAGACAATGTGACCAATTTACACACAAGCCTTTTGTATAGTAATATCTATACATCATAATGAAGTCCGCTCATTTTTCATTAAAAAAATTTCTATGAAAGGTATCAATAAAAACCAACTAGTATTCAAAATGTAACATTCGGATATATTTTTCATTTGAAATTTTATACAAATTTTATATTACACAGATTTTTAGTGGATGAAATTTTCATTTTCAAATACATATTTCTACCTCATTTTATAGTATACAAATTAGTTGTACCAAACAATGGAACAAAAATCAAAGTAATAGATCCAAAACTTACTTGAATGAATTTTTTTTTAATAAATTCAGTTTAAGGTTAGATTTAAAGCTTAAAGTTCTAGAACCAGTATTAAATGAAATATTAGATAAAATTGCTCTTGGTTGTTAGAGAATGCACACAACAAAATTGTTTGATGATTACAATAAAAAAAATTAGACGACAAAAATATGCAATTTCGACTAAATCTAGTGCTCTTAAACTATAATTATCAACAAAAGTCGTTCTTCAAAATTCGGATCAATCAATTGCTGTTAAAGTTGTTAATGAAGCAATGATAGCAACTCCAACTCATGCCTATAAATTTAATAATATTAACATTGTTTTAATAATTAATAATAATGTCAAAATTCAAAACTACATTAAAATAATTTATTATTATATTTTTACTATTGAAAAATTCTTTTAAATATATTATAAGTTATAATAGATTTTTTCTAAACGCACACATACGTAAATCATTTTTAAAATTGCAAGTATAATAAATTTAAAATTAAAAATAAAAAATCTTAAATAAGTCTTCTTAATAATTTTAATATCAAAAGATAAGTTAAAATCTTAATTAATTACTGTTATTAGATTAAAAATTACACAAGTATAATAAAACAATAATGCGGACCAATCGTTAGGATTTAAATAACTAAAAATACCACTATGTTCATTGAAAATTCTTAATTATTTTTAGTATTTATTAAGCTAAAATAAATAATCCACATTGTCAAATATTTTGAATCAATAGAGAATAGGTTTTCTAATGTAATACACAGATATTTCATAAAAGTCTAAATCGAGTACGTTATATTTATTTATTGGTATATGTGCACCCAAAGAAAAACCTCAATCAATTTTAATAGAGAAATTTTATCAAGGGTTTATGATAATGTTTTATTAATACGAACAAATTAATTATTCTTATAAATAATTATTGTTCAAGACAAGAAAAAAAATTATCATATTGATAAATATATCATAGTTTCAATAGTAATGATATATTTATCAAATTGAACAATGAATTTATTATATAGATCGAGGTTTTTCTGTGGGTGTGTTATTGAAATCATTATAACAATAAAATAATAAAGGTTTTCCCTAATATAGCAAAATCTTTTAGTATTCTAACAAATGATTTTAAAAAGGTTAAATGTTTAACTCAAAATAATAAGTAAAAAAATTAGTTCCGATTATATTTTTTCAATAATAAAAACGAAACAACAATAGCAAATAAACATAAAGCTCATATAACCAAAACCCCGTGCTACCAATTCATAATTTTTGTAAACAACAGTCTTACACACCTTTAAACTACCCTTCAAAGTACTATTTTCATTTACTGACATTTCGATCCATGATAAATGTCAACTATGTTTTGATATATTCTAACGGGTACAAAATGCACTTTCAATATAGATAAAATTCAAAGAGGTATTTATATCGATTTTATATTATAATATATTTAAATCTAATTCCAAGCTACTTTGGAAATTTATTAAGAATATAAGTTTCAGCTTGTAATGTAATATTTTTTTTTCTTTGGTAACTTTCAATGTTTTTAATATACTCCATATGAATATTTCAAAACCACCATTGGTGTCTTCCATTCTGCTTTTATCCATGATTTGACTTCTTCCACTCATTGCCTTTAGTTGTACAAGTCGTCCGTCCACAGCTTTCATTTACTTTATTTTAATAGATTGCTTTATACGTATGCAAAAAAATCGATCATATAAAATACTTAAATAAGTTTTGAGAGAGTAGAATTAGTAATGGTGTTGCCAAACCACACACACACAGATATATTTTGACTAACTATCAAATACCTTGGAAATCCCCTTTAATATCTCGCTGTTATCATTTTAAAATTCACACAGTGGTGTTGAAATACATTGATAAATTAGCACAAATAATTTTATTATAAAAATAAAAAAAAAATACCCTAAAAAGCTGGTCTTCCAAAATCTTCAACTTTTAATCATGAATCATAACGATGATGGTCATAGCATTGTTGATTTAATCGTTATTTTACGTTCACTAATAAAAAAATCTATTTACGACATTTTACAAGTCCTGTATTAAATCTGTTGTAATAGACCCTATACTTAAAAACACTATTTCTTTCTCTTCTCTTTCATCTCTCAACACAAACAAATATTCTATCCTATTACACAATACTTCTCACAACAAATACTATACACAATCAATATTTTCTGTTCTTAATAACATCCAACACATAGTTGACACAATCACACCATAGTCATCCGCTCTTCTTTTTCATCGCACGTGCGCCCTTCAAAAATCAAATGTTTCCATTTATTATTTTCAGTCAAAGAACCCTTTTTCAATGTATATACAAAATCATGAAATTCCTAAAAAATCTGAAGCAAATGAAAACCGGACGATACTTATGTGCGTCTCTGGAAGGGGTTTTAAGAAGAACACCAGAAGAGACCCAGTTATTTAGCTGTTTCTATAAAACCGACATACGAACACGTCGCTTTCATCGTCTGGTTCTCGCGAGCTAAATTAATTTAACACCGCAGAATAATTATAAGTGTATTTATTAATATTTAAGGTTGTGTTTATTAATTAAGAATAATATCTCTCCGTAAACTTCGCGTGATTATTACAATTGTTTTATATAAATATATGTGAAGTTACATTAATTATATTATTTTTTCATCAACAACTGTTTGGCTTTGCGTTCTTTTTTATCACTATTCTGCACGTCTGAAAGATGGTTAAAACTCAGGTAAGAACATTCAAACTCAGCTTATAAATTAATGCTAACAAACATAGACCCTCGAACAACACAACCCGAGAAAAAGGATAGTTCTTTATTTTAATACCCCTTCTCATTACTTTATTTTTTGGTTTACGACAAATCCTAGGTAATTATTAATAATTTTTTTATAAACATATAGATGTCTTTAATGAACTTGATAATCTTAATAACAATAATATCATTGGACCTGATGGTATATCCACTTATATGTATGTTTTTATATACATATAGTATAATTTATATATGTACTTGTAGATTTATCCTCTCTCCTCCAATAGCCTATCATTTTAATACTTCTTTAAAATCTGAATACTTCCTATCTACGTGGAATCATACTTACATTAGACCAAAATGTTTCGGATTATTAAAAAGAGGTATGACCCACAGATAGCTTTACTCGCCCACATCTTGCCACGTAAATGTTTCTAACATAGGAATATTAATGAAAAACAAAAATTACATTCATTATCGTTATCTGTATACGTATAAAAATACATTTAGATGTCTATGATTATCCTGTAAAATACAACTCTCTTTAATATATTATTCAAAATTTATAATTTTGATAATAATGAAATTTAAAAAAATAACAACATCAATTATATCAATATTTGTACTACCAAACTATGAAATACGTTATAATTTTTTTTAGTGTTAAATTCCGCTCGACTGATTTCGTAGAGGTACGAATTCTTGAGTAGTCTTATCTAAGTGGGCAACTAACCCAACCCTGTGGTTGGGTTTGTTGAAGAAGTCGAAAAGAAGGTTAGTAGATTGTTTACTTTACCAAATATAATTTGACACTTATGTATAATATTAATTAGTTTTTTATTATTGTTACACAGTCACTTTAAGATTCAATATTTTAATAAAAATTATAATTTAGTTAATAGTATACAATCGATAATTTAACTACTTAGTTTTTAGTGTCAAAATATGATTAACTATAATTGGCATACACAATTCTTTTTCCTTTGTATAATGTACTTGTCACTATCATAATATGGAATAGAAGTAGGGTACCCTATTTATGTCCACAATACTAGTCTTTTTATTTAATCGTTTTGTTTAAGATAATCAACACTTTCATTATACATTATATTCATATTCTTAGA